TTTTTTTTTTTTTTTTTTTTTTGTGAACTTTAGCATTGCTTTTTTTTCTTTTTTCTTTTTTCTTTTTTCTTTTTTATCTATATCACATTTTCATGTAGAAGGGGTCTTATGCCTGTAGATATTTTATTGTATTTATTTATATATTTAACTTAATAAAGGGGTATTATATATCTTTTTAGACTAAATTAAATAATATCTTATATATATATGTGTGTGTGTGTGTGTGTGTGGTTTTGATAGACTTGAGCATGTAATCATTACGCTCACGGGTTATATTAAACATTAACTCCTCTTTGCAAAAAACTTTCTATATTTCTTCACAAAAATTTATATAAAAGTATAAATATTCTACTTACCAATTCTCTTAAATATTTCTATATCTCTCTCTCTCTATATATATATACACTATTATTAAATGTACGTAGAATTTTTGTACTTTAAAAAAAATTAAACAAGAATATATATCTATATTATTATTAAAAGTGTAAAGAGTTTTAGTGTTTCAGTACAAATGTTTCAATATTTCAGTATTTATTTATTAATATAAAAAATATTTATTAATTAATATAAATTACCAATTTATCTATTTATTATAAGTTTTTAGTAAAAGAAAATCTAATTAGACAAGAATTATTAATATAAAAAAATAGAAAATAATTATTAATACAAAAAAATATTTATTAATTGATATAAAAAGAGTTTTTTAAAAAATTTCTATAAAACTCTAACACAAATTACCTATTTATTATGAGTTTTTTAATAAAAGAAAATCTAATTAGATAAGAATTATTAATATAAAAAATATTTTTTAATTGATATAAAAAATAAAATAATTTCTCTACAACTCTAAAATAATTTCTATAAATCTACCACAAATTAGTTACTTTATTTTCTATAGAACTCTATAACAATATGTATTTATAATGACTTTTTTAATAAAATAAAATATAATTAGACAACAATATATTTAAAGAAAATAAAATAATTTCTATAAAATTCTACGACAAATCAGCTATTTTAATTTCTATAAAACTCTATCACATATAACCTATATTTATCTATTTTAGAGTTGTAGAGAAATTATTTTATTTTTTATATCAATTAATAAATATTTTTTATATTAATAATTTTTGTCTAATTAGATTTTCTTTTATTAAAAACTCATAATAAATAGATAAATATGTAATTTGTGCTAGAATTTTATAAAAATTTTTTAAAAAACTCTTTTTATATCAATTAATAAATATTTTTTTATTAAAAATTCTTTTATATTTTTTTATATTAATCGACAGGGAAAAATAAACCTAACCTACCTTGACTTGACGATAGAGGCACAATGAGTACATTTTCTTGATTCTCTGCCACGGCTACGTGCTCCCTGTGAATCACGACCACTGAGAAAATAAAGTCATAGACAGATTATGTAAACTATTTACGAATCATTAACTATTTATTTCAAAATAATGTTTGATGTTAGGTATGAAACAAATTGTGTAAGTGTTGACCAGCCACTAGACCTCTTCGACTTTCGAACGATGATATTTTCATTGAATAAGAATGATAATATTTCGTTATTCAGGATAAGGAGAATTTAAATGAGAAATAAGATGACGTAGTCCAACAGGGTAAGGATAACCTTGGCACAATTTGAAAGTCAAAAGGGTAAATCATATCCCCAACAATTCTGGCAATAAACAAATCTACTCTGATCTCACGCAAACGGATCTCCTCTGATCTTCCACAAACGGATCTCCTTTGATTTAACAAACGAACTGAGGGAGAACGGCTATAAGAATGAGATCCTACCAGTCAATCAGGTATGACAAAAAATTATTATTAAATATCTGCCTTTTTTTTAAACCTCCGGTGACTGACTTGATCGTCGGAGAGCTCTTGGCAGGCACCACACCGGTGCCATCAAGATTCATCGATCTTTTACTCTCTTCTTTGCAGGGAAACGGAGTCGTATCGAACCGCGTGAATTTCTTCCCCAACATTAATAATTCTTGTCTAATTAGATTTTTTTTATTTAAAAAATTCATAATAAATTGATAAATAGGTAATTTATATTAATTAATAAATAATTTTTATATTAATTAATAATTAATGAAATACTGAAACACTAAAACTCTTTATACTTTAATAATATAATAAAATAATTTTTATAAAATCTACTACAAATTAGCTACTTTAATTCTATAAAACTTTATCACAATATCTATTTATTATGACTTTCTTAATAAAATAAAAACTAGTTAGACAGTAATATATTTAAAGAAAATAAAATAATTTTTATAAAATTCTTTCACAAATCAGCTATTTTATTTTCTCTGAAACTCAATCACATATAACCTGTATTTATCTATTTATCATGATTATATTTAAAAAATAAATAAAATAATTTCTATAAAACTCTACCACAAATTACCTATTCTATTTTCATTTAAAATTCTATCACATATATCATGTATTTATCTATTTATTATGAGTTATTTAATAAAAGAAAATCTAATTAGACAATGATATATTTAAAGAAAATAAAATAATTTATATAAAACTCTACCACAAATTACCTATTTTATTTTCTATAAAATTCTATCACATTAGAGAAAGATATATTTAAAAACAATATATAATATATATAATAATACACATAAATAAAATATAAAAATTATTAAAACTATAAAGAGTTTCAGTATTTATTTATTGATATAAAAAATATTTATTAATTAATATAAATTACCTATTTATCTATTTATCATGAGTTTTTTTAATAAAAGGAAATCTAATTAGACAGGAATGATTAAAAATAATTATTAATTGATATAAAAAGAATTTTTTTAAAAATTTCTATAAAACTCTAACACAAATTACCTTTTTATCTATTTATTATGAGTTTTTTAATAAAAAAAAAATCTAATTAGACAATAATTACTAATATAAAAAGTATTTTTTTTAATTGATATCAAAATAAAATAATTTCTATAAAATATACCACAAATTAGCTATTTTATTTTCTATAAAACTCTGTCACAATATCTAAATGACTTTTTTAATAAAATAAAATATAATTATACAATAATATATTTAAAGAAAATAAAATAATAGTGTTTGCGGTGTTGATATCGGTGTTAAAATTTTTAATATTTAAACCTTAGTCAATTCTCTTAAAAATATACTCCATAATATATTTTTTTATATTTTTATTAACTAACAATAATTATTTATTAAAATATTTAAGATACAGGTCATTTTAGATTGAGAATTAATAAAACACTTAGTAATTATATATTCATATTTTTCTTATATTGACATTTTTACAAATTAATTAAGCTCAAAACAATAAATGACTAATTTGTTTATCCTGCAATTAATGACATTTTTGCCGAATCATTAATTAGTCGACATATTATTTTACAAAAAAATTAGAAGTCATCTTGTATTCTTAACAAAATTTTCCTTTTGCGACCATAAGTTATTTTGGTCGTTAATACCTTGTCTAATTACAACCAAAATTTGATCATTTTGCGACCATAAAATTTAGTCGTAAACGATCAATCCTTACGTGACCATAATTTATTTTGGTCGTTAATACTTTGACCAATTGCGACCAAACTTTGATCATTTTGCAACCATAAAATTTGGTCGTAAAAGATCAATCCTTTCGCGACCATAATTTATTTTGGTCGTTAATACTTTGACCAATTGCGACCAAACTTTGATCATTTTGCACACAAAAAATTTGATCGTAAAAGAGTAATTTTTGCACAACCATAATTTATTTTGGTCGTTAATACTTTTACTAATTGTGACCAAACTTTGATCATTTTGCAACCATAAAATTTGGTCGTTAAAAATCAACCATTTTGTGACCATAATTTATTTTGGTCGTTAATGTGCTTATCAATTGCGATCAAAATTTACTTTAGTCGCTAATATGTTAACTTTTACGACCAACTCATTTTGGTCGCAAAATACCATAGTATTTGCGACTTTTTCAGTTTGTTCGCAAATAATTTGATCGCAAAAGGCCCAGTTTGTTGTAGTGTTAATCATTGTATGCTGAACATTATCACTAGCAAAAACTCAACCAGATTATATATATAACTTCATATTACAAAATACAGCTAAATATACCTTATTTAGTAGTATATGTTGGGATTTATATACTCTGGTATAACAAATTCCTATTTGGATTATAGTGACATATGTTCCTGACATATCTGAAATATTTATGATTTATATAATTGGTAAATTTAATGTATTATGTTTTGATTCATTATGGAATTAATAGTGTTCACTTGATTACAAGATATATTTATATATATATGTGACGGTGATCAATACATGAATATAAATAGTAATTATAAATTATTCATAGTCAGTGATCATGGATTGACTCATAATTAACTAAGACTTGAACTGGATCCACGTTACATTGAGATATATTGTGAGAACCGTTGTATGTAATTACTCCCTATCACTGTCATGGCATTTGACTCTCAAACATGAGAGAAGTATAAACTCTTTTATTAATTAATAATTACTTTGATTTGTTCGACGGATACTTCGGGATCCATAAATCGGCACTTTCGATAGTTATGTAATTAATAGTTGTTGGTTATATTCTCAATATTTGCATCAATGCTACTTGTATTTATTTTATATTGATTATGGTTGATCACAAATTAAATTCGAATAACTTCGTATGTTTTAGATAAAATATTTTCTATATATTTATTTAATAAATTATTACTTTTGTCAAACAAACTTTTATTGTGATCAAGTCGAAAATAATCAAAGGTAACAAAATAATTATATTAATTATGTTGTCGGATTGATGACTTTATAATCTGATAAATAATTATGATAAATAATTATGCATGGAGTGGTCAAACTGTAACATTGACTTAGAGGTTATTTACTATTTAATTGGAGTGCAATTAATTTCTTTTAGTGGAGTAGAAATTAATTTATGAATTAATATTTTATTTTTGCATAAAACTTGTCTCTATGCGATAAATCAAGATTTATGTATGAAAATTCCTGAAAAAGTTTTTAAAACTTAGACGTTTCCTAACAGTACTCTCATTAGAACTAACTACAGTAGGCCATACATACATACATACATATATATATATATATATATATGTTAGTTATACATATATATATATTAATTTGTGGTCACCTAATGACAATGTATGTAAGTACTGAAACACAGGTTATTAATTAGCTGGGTAACTACATTAAAGATGTAAAACTCCTGCCCGAATAAGCCATGGGACTAAGCTCCCCTCGAGGTGAAGACTAGTGATCTCATTAGCTCCTCCAGCCAATTCATGCCCAATGAATACTACCGGCACCATATTGTGACCATACCTCGACAGTGCCTGCTCGATTTCTGGGCCCCTCGGTATTTGATCGAGCTCGTGAATAGCTGGGTCGGCACCAAAGTTCGTGAAGAAGGTTATCATGGTGTGGGACATGAAGCAAGAGCTCTTTCTGAAGATCACTAGTGGCCTTGCAGATACCATTGTCCTTAATCCCTCCATTGACTAGTCTAGTTATGCTCTGACTGTTTTAAATTCCAAAACAATGATAGAGAGAAATGTGAGTTGTGATGACGGAGAGAACACTTTGGTTTTGCTGTAATGATAATTGAGCCCCGAGTGGTTATTTATAGCATGACAATGGACATTGGTACGGTTTCGTATTGCTACGCCATCGTATTGCATGGTCACAATAGAGAGCGCCACACTCATACAACTTACAATATGCAAAAATACACGAAACATATATGAATCACTAATTTAAGATTTTTTTTTTTTTTTTTTTTTTTTTTTTTTTATGCGTAAGCTAGTATACATTACAGTCATTACTGATGTTAATAATGCCAACTTTCAAAAAAAAAAAAAAATTTAATGCTGCCACTGATAAAAATTAAAGATGCATATGAGAGAGAGAGGAAAAGGTCCCCTAAGGCATCTGCGCATGTGGGGAAGGAATGTTAAGTGCATGGGCATAAGAAAAAAGATGAATCCATGGGCGGTTCTTTGCATCCCACAGTTTAGAGTCAGAATTGGTGAGGTACAAAAACGTGCTCTCTCTCTCTCTCTCTCACACACACACACACAAGATGACAGACGATTGAAAAGCTAAGGAACCTATTAAGTGCTCTCCTTTACGACACAAAAAGAAAAGAGTCACATTTAGAATAAAGTATATCATTTACGGGTGGATAGAAAATCGTACAAGGATATAGCAATTTATTTGATTCCACGCGTCGGTACCGTGTACGTGTGTCTACGATCGTTATCAATATCACTCTTAATTTTGTTGAGTTTAACGCGTGAATGAAAATTAGATTCTTTAGATTTTTGCTCACTCTCTGGATCACAATCTTAGTGTTCATTTGGACTAAGAAATTTGGAGGGATACTGAGGGAAAAGGATGCAGAGTGATGAGGCTGACTGTATTTAGATGTGTTAAAACAAGAGATAGGAAAAGAAAGCCAGCGGTAAGGAAGGATAACTATCAATTTTTTTTTTTTTTATTCAAACAAGAATATTATTTTTTTTTTCTCATAAATCCGAATATATATGGAAATTATTGTTATTATTTGGATTCTTTTCTTTTCTCTTATAATTAATACTATCATATCATTTCTTTTTCCTATTGTGAATCTAAATAAAGCCTTAATGATTGGAGTTGAGTGTAACATGTGCACGTAAATTTTTTTTACAAAAATCAAGTCAGTTCGAATCCCCCCCTCCCCCCCCCCCCCCCCCCCTTCTTTTCTTTTCTTTTTTTTTTTTCCCTATTTTTATCATCACCGTGGTTGTCTTAATCCCATATAAATTTGAAACATAATTTTTTTTTAATTTACTAGCTTTTCTATATATTATACCTTATATATCTTACTTATTATACTTAACTTTTTAAAATCATATATAATAATTTAATCCCACATTAATTTTAGTTATCCTATGTGTTATACCTAATATGTAACTAATTTTCCTCTTCTTGTTTGTGTGCTTATAGGACTTCTTGCATAGGGCGGGGCCAATATTTCAATTCAGGGGGCACAGTACAAAAAAAATAAAATAAAATAAAAAAATGTGACAAGAAGAAAAAGGCACTACAACAAATAAGGTCTTTAGTGATGAAACAATTCGTCGCTAAAAACCTTTTAGCGATGTCACCGTCATTATAAACCTATAGTGACAAAACAATATATTCTTCACTGAATCATCGACTTTTAGTGACAAAAATTTTTCATCACTAATACATAAGCTTTTAGTGATGAATTTATTTCGTCACTAATACATAATCTTTAATGACACAAGCTATTTGTCAAAATATTTGATTAGTGACGATCAAGCTATTTGTCACAAAATCTTTAGCAATAAAACTATTTGTCAAAATATTTGATTAGTGATGATCAAGCTAGTCGTTGAAATGCGTGAATTAATAACGATCAATTTTTATCTCTATATACTAGTTTCAACAATTTGAATTGTTTTGGTTGCTAATACTAGTAGCAACGACATCGCAAAGCCTTTTGGTGACCCTTCTAATAATCAAATCTGTTACCATTCAACTAAAGTTGCAAACTAAATTCCATTCATTTCAACACCAAAAATTGAAACATTTGAATAAAATGTCATATTTGATTACAAAATTACATAACAATATTTGAGTTTATTACAAAATGAAACTAATTGCATTATATTATTCAATTTCATTACAAAATGAAACTAACTCCTCAATTGTGTAATATAAATTCAAACCAACAAAAATAAATCAAACTCCCACGCCTTAATAAAAGTCTTCTCGCAAGTAACATGATGACCACCATTATGAACAAGTTGTGAAACCAAACCCATTAGGACTATGCTACCACCTCCATTGAGCAAGACAACATTTCTTGAAACATTAGGCATCAAATCGTTCCCTTGTTCCACCCTAAAAAAAGAAAAAAAAGAAAAGAAAAGAAAAATAAGTATATGCAATACAAATAAGAAAACAGAGTTAAACCTATTTAAAATGTGTAAGCAATGCCGAGGCCTTATCTTAAAGAGAGTACTAGTCATCGCATCATAAACCATATAAGACATTCCACAAACTCTATGTAAGGCCAAGAGTGCATACAAATAATAATAATAATAATAATAATAATAATAATAAGTTAGGATAGAATGTACTCCCACTCCTATTCCCATTATTTTATTTTAAAGTGTTAATGCTCATTAGGATAGAGTGTACTCCCACTAGTGTTATTTGATAGTTTCTGAAGAATGTATGAAATTCGTGAATGATATATTAAATAATGAAAAAATAATGAAAAGCCTATTAATTCTTACCTGATAAAGCCATTGTTATTGATATTAGCTGCAAGCAACTCCTCCACATTAATGTCCCAATGTAACACCCACTTTTTTCTACCTGTAAGAAGAATAAATAGTCATTCACTAGGAAAACAGAAATAACGAGATAACAACAAATACGAAAAATAAAGTAGGAAAAACCAAAAACCAAATACGAAAAATAATTCCAGCCCTTCTATGGTTTGTCAAAACATACCCTTACAAAGTTAAATAGAGAGAGAGAGAGAGATAGCACATAGAGTTTCTAGAGAGAGTATTTTAATTCAAATTAATAAAATAAACATTTATAAACTATAAAGTAAAAAATAAACAATACAGAGGGACAAATTTGAAAAACTCACACATCCCCCGGTAGGTGTAGTGATTGAAGAATCATATTTCTATCTTTTTTGAAGTTTTAGCACCATCAATTCCAATGATCCCACTAGTCAACATTAAAAATTTCTATCTTTGCAAAAATTTATTTATTTATTTTTAACATATAGAATGATTAACCCAACCATACATGTGATTCTCGTAACTAAGTCCCTACTATAGTTATAAAATTTTCTCTCTTTTTCAAATTAGCATGTTCAATAATTGCCAAATTTTAATTAACCCATAGCCCATTAATGATCTGTGGCCTCCTCCATTCTCTAAAAGCATCACCATAATGATTCTCAAATTGGTAGCTATAAGAAAAGGCCATTTTAATAGGTTGCAAGCATACACCAGTTCATCAACAAAACATCTACTTTATTTCTGTACCTACTATAGATTTTGACCTTCCAGATTTTTATTTATTTTTTTACATCTAAAGATTACTATAATTTTCTCTTTGCTTTTTTATGTTATAGCACAAGAAATGCTTTATTCTTTTATAACATACATAAGTTGTAGTGAATAGTGATGGCAAATCTTTAGTAGTAGTAAGTGATTAAAATTCTAACCAGAAGATCTCAAAATTTTATTTGATTAACAAAATTCTGAAAGCTGAGTTAAGAATTCAAAAAGAAAAAAAACACCTTATATTATTGTAACATTCATTCATAAATATATAGATGAAAAAATAAACAGATAAATAAAGGAACTTTTATTGAGCGTGTTGATTGTTTAATTCTTGTTTTGTTCTTAGGATCCTCTATTAACTCAATCTATTGTTGGAACATGACTAATCATTTAACCACAACAAATAAAACAAGAACACATACAAAACGATAGGGTTTGTTGTAAATTAAATCAGAATTAATTACTTCAAAACCCTAAATAGCAAAATGCACTATTGGATTACAAAGTACCAAGAACAAAAAACAACAATTTGTAAATTGATTGAGAGATACCAGTTTGAGATTTGATACTTACAGAGATTTTAGGGTTTTATTCGATGATTAGAGGTAGTTCGAGTTCTCTCCTCTTTCTATTTCTCTCTAAGGAGCAGTTTATTTTTGAAGGGGCAATCCAGGAAGTTTTTCAGTGGCAGGGGCAACCGATTGTTGATGGAGATGGTAGAGCCCGTTGACTGTTGATGGAGATGACAGAGGAAACCGACTGTTGATGGAGATGGTATGGGTAGTCGATTGTTGAGGAGAGAATAGAGAACATTAGGGTTTGAGATTATAGCGTGTAAGAGAAAATAACGGGCAGAATGGTGAGGAAGTAGGGTTTCATCAGGAGAAAATGGCGCAATAGATAAAAAGGGATGGATCGAGATAGGGAAAATAAAATACCTCATATCGACGTCATCTTTTTATTTTAGGATATTTTATGATTAAAACGACACAGTATGTATACAAAGTTTTGGGATAGAGATAAAGTCAAATGGTAAAATATGAAGGGCGTTAAAAATTAATGTGTAGAAGTTTTCCCGCGAAGCAATTGGATTCAATTCGTCCCTAAAAGAATATACAAATAATGACGAATCAGTATTTCGTCTCTAAAGAACTACCATTAGGGATGAAATAAATTTTGTCCCTAAAATTTTGTCACAAAAAGTCACTTTTGTTGTAGTGAGGAAAGAAGAATGACATTGTTGTTAGGGGTTTATTTGTTATTACTTATATAATGTTAGGGCTTATATGTAATTTTTGAAACTTGTTATTTTAAATAGAATGCGGTGGAATGATGAAAGTATTCTTTCATTCTTTCTCTCTTTTTCAATCTCTCTCTTTTTTTCTCATCCTCTTTCTTCTCTTTTTCTTTTTCTTTATCACTTACTTTTGATTATATCTTAAAGTCAGCATGGTATCAAAGCATGGTTTGTAAAGCTCTAGGTGTGTAGTTGAAACCCTATGGCAAGTTTGTGTAAACCCTAGTGGGTGTGAAGGGTTTAAAAGAGATTCCAAGATGAAATTTGTTTGCAAGGAAGTAGTATTAATCATATCCATATGTACCCCGGATCCAACTCCACGGTGAGTTGGTTGGGGGTCGCAAGGGCCAACGCGCCCCTACTCGAGGTTCAAGGCGAGCCCCGAAAAAAAAATTTGGACACATTTTTTATTTATTGCAGTCTCAATCGGTGTTTTTTTTGGTGTTCACAGGGTTCTGCAACAACAGATTTTTCTTCGTCATTCGCAATTCTGGTATGGTATACTTTGTTGCTTTATAGCGTTTGTGCGATGACTGTGTGGTCATTTTTTTATGCATCTCAGAAGACGGTAATCTTTTTATTTGAAGTTTGTGTGTTAAAGAGGTGGTTCTCTACGAATTTGTTGTTGTTTTTGTTTCTAAGGATTGTATACTCAGAAACTGTTTGATAAAATGTTTGGCTCAGAGGTGACTTCGAAAGAAGCTAGGCCTTCTCTTAGTCTGACTCCTGGGAGATAGTAGTGATCACCATCCAGGCCTTTGTATTATGACTGTTAAGATAGATTAGACAAACTATATGGAGTCGGTTCAATCTGTTAGTATTCATATCACTAGTCGTAAGATGATCGAAAATATCGAAAGGACTGTCACGTATCCCTCCAACAACGATTCTGAATTCAAAGAGTGGAGTGTAAATAATGCACTAGTTATGGCGTGGTTGTTGCAGTCAATGCAACCACAAATCAGGAAGGGGTTTCTATTTATGAAAACAGCTAAAGAGCTATGGACGGCTATAGAAGAGACATATTCCTCAGTTAGTAATTTTGCAAAACTATGTAAACTCCAGTAATAGAATTCAAGATTCAAGCAGGAAGACCAAACTCTTGCTACATATTACCACACTCTACGTGGTAAATGGGAAGAGTTAGATCACTACCAAGACTACATACCTGTGTGTGTAGCTGATGTTAAAGCATTTCATGCTATGGTATAAAGGAATCGAATCTATAAGTTCTTGGGTGGTCTACATCTGGGATACGAGCATGCCAGCATACAAGTGTTAGACAAGTATCCAGCCCCTACTTCTATTAGAGAGTTGTTTTCGTATATCCAGACTAAGGAGAGTAGAATGAAGGTTATATATGCACCTGTATACACTAAGCCTCATGATCAAGCCCCTTTGTGGGGGTCATTTTTCCTTTAATCAAAATGAGATGTTCGAATGTGTGGTTTAGGAAAAGCCTTTTTGAAAGAATTATCAAATAGTCAAATTTACATTTATAAAAACCACTATTACTATAATGAAGTATATAGTGAGAAGGGATCGAACCCAATAAACCTTTGCCTTGTATTTAAATAAGACAATTGGTTTTAACAAGTGATTAACATAAGAGAGAAAGAGAGAATAAAAGAGATGGTTGGTTGATTAAGCTAGTGAATAATTAAATTAAAATGTAATGAAAATAAACTAAGTTAGAATTAGGGGTTTAAGAGATAGAAGAAAATTCTTAGGGTTTGTTGGAATCACCACTAAGCTCATGCAATTAACCACTTGCTTTCCATTAATGGGGAGAACATTATTGCAATTTAAATGTAGCTACAATCACTAAAACAACTTGCAATCAAGTATGCATGAATTATCAAATGCAAGTATGAATTGTCTACCTAATGACATGTAAACTAGGGTGTAGAACAACCCATCAAGCCTAAGCATACTCCATCAAACTAACCACAGCTGCATCTAATGAGAGCATACATTAATCAATAGGATAATGGAATTTGCATATAATATGTGTGGATTATCAATTCAAGCATAGATTATCTACCTAATGACAACTAAACTAATTTGTAGCACAACCCATCAAAATAAAATATAACCCATCAAATTAATCAACAATCCAATCCAATAAAAACTATGCAATGTCCATCACTAAACCCAAATAACAATGGAATCTAGTGTTGAGTATAATCCTCTAATCACACATAGACATGCAATTAACATAGAGAATTAATGAAAAAATTAATCTTTAACATCTTATCAAGGGCATAACCCTAGATTAATCACAAATAGACATGTAATCAAGATATAGAGTTAATGGAAGAATTAAACCAACACAAGCCATGATTTGTCAAATCAAGCATGTAAATAGGAATCACAAAGCCATAACAGTAACTACAATAATATATTAATCTCTCCAAAAATAGAAATTGCAAAGGTTTAGATTACAAGAGATTTAAGGCTTAACCAAGCCCTAAGTGGAGAGCTAGCCCATAATGGTTGTGGTGATCAAGGTGTCAACAAGATCCTCATTTATGCTTTGCTCCTTCTTCTTCTTTTTTGATGCTCAAGAGAGATGAGTGTGTAGATGTTCTTGAAACCGTTGTGCCTCCACTGTAATGACCCAGTTATTTTCCTTCCTTTCTTTTTTCTCAGATTTTCACGGATATTTTTTTCCGTTGATCTTTCCTTTTCTGAGTTCGTTTCTCATCACTTAGTGTCATCTAAAGTGCTCAAGAATGGTTTCCTAGACTCTTTTATTTGGATTGACAACTTCTTTTAAGGATCGAGTCATTTCCACATTTTTCGTTTTTCGACACTATTCACTTTTCGTCCTTTTTTACGTTTGTCACTTTTTGGCACAACCTCACTTTTTGTGTTCAGAGCTGATTTTTGACTTTACGTATCTTCATTTTAAGTGATTTTCACGAAATACGTATCTTTAGTTTTGTAGAAAAGTACTCTGGTTGCTCCTAGTGTCCATAGGGGCATGAATGCATAGTTCTTTAAAAAAAAATTATGTTCTTAGGGTGTTTTTCATAAATATCTTTTAAAGATATTTTATTTCAAGGGTTTCTAAGAAAATATTTTTGAAAGATATTTTCATTTTGGGTCATTAGTGCAGTTATCATTTTTTGGAGGGACCATTATGCAATTAACGAAAGTTATTACAAAAATACCTCGTTTTGAGCTTGGATCTCGTACGGGATTCATTTTCACATTTCGTCGAGTCGTGTACCCTTACAATTCCCTTCTGGTCATTTTCTCCAGTTTAAGGGATTTCTGACCCCAGTTACCGCCAAACTTGTTCGGGGCATATCTTTCTTCCCTTGTTAATCTTTTCTCATTTTGGTTCTTTTTCATCCATGGAGTTTTGCCATTTAAGCGCGTTTCCTTAAATTTCACTTTTCCAGACTCGGTGGGGCCCGTTCGGGACACTTTTAGGGTTTTACTATAAATAAAATGTCTTAAATGAAAAATCACTGTTTTCTATCTTTTTCCTCCCTCTTGGCCGGCAGCCATGGAATCCCATGGGGCTGCCACTTTCTCTCTCTTCATTTGGACTTCCTCCCTTTGTTAAAAAGTCGTAGTGCCTTTGTGTTTTATGTTTGTCTTGACTACGCGTATCTTTCCCCCTTATTAGAATCCGTTTTGGCCATTTTTTGAGTTTGAGTTTGAGGCCAAGTTAGGATTTTGGTATGTTCTCTTTGGAGTTTAATGTTCACCATGTTGTCCCCGACATACCCTAGGAGTATTGTCGGATTCGGAGCATTTTTCTTTCGGCATCTCAAATCCCGATGGTAGGGGATGTTATAATTTAGATTTTTGTTGTCTTACATGCTATTGATGCTTTTATAACTTGTATGCATGCTTTTGTTCATAATCTAGAATTTAATTTAATTACTTTCTATGTTTAGGATTTAATTCTCATGATGATATTCAATTAAGAATTTAATTGTGGCATGCTAGTAATTTAGGCCTTGGTAGACTTGTTAACATATATTAAATTTGGATTATTCGAATAAGAATAGCAACTTTTATTTAATATTTTTCTTTTGGGAAAAATTAATTCATATAGTTGTATCAAGTATGAAATCAACTTGTAATGTGATATTATAGTAAGCCTAGGTGAGTTCTTTAACATATGTTAAATTGAGATCATTTGGAATTGTTTAAAAATTTAGAGGAAATTAATTAATTAGCTTAATTAATTTTATTCTAAGTGTTTCAATCACTTAATTAGTTATTTGATGTTATATTTGTCATGACCACGCTATGTCCTTCAACATATATTAAATTGAGGTTATTTGGAATTGATTTGGAATTTAGAAAATTTAATTATTTTTATTTAATTAAATTCTATCTAATTGCTCCATGGATTTAATTGTGCTTTGGAAGTTTTTTCTATGTTTAAATCATGGACTTGGATTTGTTGTACATTCACTTGGTTATATTTTGAGCATTAAATAACATTGTTGTTATATTTAGATTCATGAGTTTATGTTTCCAATATTGAGTAACATTGTTATAGCGTGTGACGAATTGCACACTGAAGATTCGACATTTGTCATGCCATTGTAGTTGTAGACTTAGAACATGTATTATATG